CAGAGTCTTTCGACTACTCTAAGTGTGACAAGGATGCTTTCAGTGAGATTTTCTTCCCTAGCAAATATCTTTCATAAACATAACCCTGGTACTGATGGGTTTAAGGAGACTGTATACCAGAAACCAGTTCGTGGAATATTGCGCTCAACTAGCCATTGAGGCCACGGGCTGGCAACGATGTATCCCAGCGTTGAGCACTTTTTGTTCAGACTAGGACTATGGACTTAGTCGGGGTCACTCCTTCCCGACTTCCCACCACTTTCTCAGTTTTCATTTTTTTTTCCGAAAATTTCTCCACTTTTTTATTCGAAAACGGGGGAAGGGTTGTATAGCGCTCTTGGAAAGAGGAAAAAACGAGAAAAGCCAACAAGCGGAGGTATTTTTCTCACAGGCAAACAACCCCCATCCTCCCCCAGCGACCGAATGTGAATCACCTCGTCGGGGAACCCTAATATACGTCGTGCCCTATTCCATACTGAAGAAATTGGGATCCTATATCCGGTCGGTGCTAGACCGAATTTGTAGAGAGTAAAGATTTGTAGATTGTTTGGTGCGGGCTACGGGGAATGGACGGACAAGACAACTGTGATTTGTCGTGTCGTCGCGCGCGGCGTAACGTGCATAACGTGCTTACGCGGAAAATTTGTGGCATGCATCAGTTTGTCGCTTGAAGCAGCGAAACTTATATGAATTCATGCGGCGACAAGACTCCATGACTAGCGATACCGGATTTTTCCGTTCCCTTGACTTTCAAATTTAAACGACCGGGAGGTCAACCTGCTTAATTCTGTCGCGCTAGTAGGCGCGGCGCCACTCGCCACGCCCAGCAGCGCGACCTATTACAATTGCCTTGTCACATACTCGGGAAAGTCAGGTTTTCACCATGCTATTTTAGATCAAAGCCCAGCTGTATCGGATAGTTCGTTCGATCCGTTCAATCAGAAGCATCGCATAGAAAACAAGAAGAATTTCCGCCGGCGAGGTCGAGGAGGACTTCACAGAATGGGTACCATGAGTATAGGTTACACGCCATCGAAGAAGTAATTCGAAGTCATCCACCAGCTGGCTGAATGTGTATGAAAAGCTGCGGTTCTAGATGTTGCTAGAAATGATTCGTTTTCACTTACAGTTGTCCGATTCTGTAAAAAAGCTGCAGTTCAGAACAATGTTCGCTTCTTATTCGTACAGTAGTTGTTGCTCATTGTTGGAAAATGTTGTTATTGTTGATGAATGTTTGATAAATTTCTTATTTTGAATTAGAAATTGATTTTATTCTAAGGTTGAATCGCTTCTCCAAACAAATTCTTCCCTCTTGTTCTGTATAATAGATGCTTTGGCTCTGAGACAGCTTGCTGCGCCCTAGGTCACGGCGCTTTACGGCCCCTCAGTCTTGTTGCCTGCGTTTGCTGGGGCGTGCCATGGAGGGGGGGGGATGATGGGACCCGTTCTCCATCAATTGTTTAGAACCGAGTGGCGCCGCGAGAAATCCGGCCCCTCCCCCAAATCCAGTCCTTGGTACTCCCTAGCATCAGCAGCGAACAGTACCGTAGCTGCGTGGGGCGCAGATTCCGCTGTTCCGTAGCCCTCACTTGGCAATCGTTTTTTAGGTTGTGAGAAATATTTCAAATCTAAGGGTTCTGCACGCGAAGATTAGTAACTGAAACTGTTGTTCTGTGCGTGTTGTGTGTATAGGAAGAAGCGAGGTAGGAGATATCAGGTAGAGTGGCAAAGTGGTTCCCGACTAGCTGACTAGACATGCCACAGTATTTCCACGTTAAATCAATTAGGTCCTGGTCGGATGGTCGGATGTTCTTGCGTGACGCCGCTTGCGACGCTGCCTTCGTTGCAAAGTCTCACTGTGAACCTAAGGTCACTCATACCAGGAGAGACAGGTAGCAAGTGATATACGTGTGATCGATCACCAGATGTAATCGGTACTTGCAAACACCACCCGAGAGAACTTTTTGATGAAATAGTAAGACCTCATCCTCTGTACAGTCTTGTTTTCTGCGGGTTCTGGGGCGTGCCAGAGGGCTGGGTTTGACGCGGCGCTAGACTGTTTTCCACCAATGGTTGTAGCTTGACCAGCTTCAGCAACTGTGGTGGACAGTTGTCAGATCGCGCGTCAAGCCCAGACTCTTTGGCACGTCCTACACCCGCAGTGAACAAGACCTTACCTTGGGAACCTTCCTCGTAATGTGGATCGAATCTTTGTCTAAACCTCAAGCATAACAAGAAGTGAATGTCAGCTGGACCATAGGTTACTGTATGACTGCTTTGTTTCAAGAAAGAAATTGCTTTGTGAAATTTCTAGAAATGTATTCGAGGTAATTGGTGAACGTTTTTGCGGCTCTATAAATTCATAGAAAATTCAACACCAACTTGGCGAACCTAAAATTGCTGGGGACAAGTTAAGTATTGGGAGGCCTGGATCCTTCGCCTAGGATGTTTTTGAATTTGGATAACAGTATAGTTTCACAGATGACTTCAACTGGCCGCTTACGTACGATGCGATGTGAGTTGGGTTACGTACGTCGAGCCGATGGCTCCTGCTCCTACTCGCAAGGCAGAACTTCACTTTGGGCAAGTTGCTCGGGACCAGGTAGGTTCATTGTGGGTTTATAAAAGCTGGATGTGCCGCTTGGTCATTGTCACATTTAGTGGGTCACACAGGAATAGAAAGGGGGATACCGAAGGGCTATGCTAGCCGTCTGAATAGACGAGTGTCACCAATTTTCACTCAGATTGAGATCATCGCCTAGTAAGGCCTGAATAATGCGGGGTGAAGGAAAAGAGGAGCAGAGAGGGCGTAGAACCAGAAAAATCATCTGTTCTGGTCTATTTAAGTTCTGGTCTAGTTAAGAAGGACCTTATAAGAGCTTGGTGTAGCGCACTTAAATCATGCAGTGATGGACATCTCGGTAGAAATATATTTTCGGACGATTCTACTGCGGTCTGTGCAGCAGTTCAAGAAAGGTGGGGCATTTGGGAATCATGGCAAACATTTTCACATTACAAAAGGAAAAACTGTGATACGAGACAAAGAAAAAATCTTAGCCAAAGGGGATGAGAATAATTGCTCAGGCTCGTAGTTCCCCGCTTGAGCCCTCTTTCGAACAATTCTATCTTTCATACTCCTGTTCCTGTTTTCTTAGGTGACATTCATATTGCTCGTCGTGAAGATGAACAAATGCACCTCGATGTGAGTTTCCGCCAACTCACAGGAGATTGTCAATATCATCAGGTGTGTTGCCAGTTTTATTTAGTTGCCGAAAAATATCGGCGCTGATGTCACTAAGAAGGACTACGCGGCGTTCCGCTTATGCGCTTC